TGGCTGCGGGCAGCGCGGGCGCGGGCAGCGTGAGTGGCGGCAGCCTGGCGGCCATGGGCGGCCGGGAGCACCAGTACAGCTCGCTGTCCGCGGCGCGGCCGCTGAACGGGACGTACCATCACCATCATCACCATCACCCGACTTACTCTCCCTACATGGGTGCGCCGCTGACGCCCGCCTGGCCAGCCGGACCCTTCGAAACGCCGGTGCTGCACAGCTTACAGAGCCGTGCGGGAGCCCCGCTCTCGGTGCCGCGAGGCCCCAGCGCAGGTGAGGATCGCCCAGTAGTGTGGGGGTGCTGGCCAGGGACGCTGGCGCGCAAGGAAAGGCTGTTTACTAGATGTCCACCTGGCCCCAGCACAGATTTCTTTGTAAGTCAGTGGCAGCATACTCAGGCTAGCAGCGATGATGTGGGGATGCTCTTGTCCAGGAAAGTGGGGGAATGAATTCACATCTATTGCTTCAGGGCCCTGGGAGGGCACACAGGGGCTCTTCACGAGTAGTTACGACCGGGCAATAGAGAAAACATGCACTTTAGATATGTGGGGTCAGAGCTCTGCATGTGTCCTGATTTGGGTGAGATTCCAGGACTGTGTGCATCAGATAGACACGTGGACATATTCAGCCTCATAATTCAGTGCCTAGGTGAGGAGCTTCTTTGGACGATAGGGCAACCAAAGCCCTAAGGTCTAGGCATCTGCTTGGCATCCCGATCCCCTCAAGCAAGAGACCTAGATCAGCCAGCTGTGACTTCAGTAATTCTAAGGTTAGCTGGTGGACAGGGCAGGCCTTCAGGCTTGGCATTTGCTGGGTGGGACTGGGGTGTGTGTGTGCAGCTCTCACTTAGCCAGGCAGGGCTTTCAGTGTTTACCCCACCAAGTAACACCACACTCTTCAGTGCCGGGGCGATTTAAGCGTCCAGTGAGAAAACAATCGTCAACTACCTTAGAAAGACCTGATTTTGGAAAGTGGTCCTGCTGCTAGCCGGCCGGCATGAGCCAGACTTGCTTTTTGCCTCAGCCATCCTGTTTTAAGTTCCGAGTTCGTCCCTAGGTCCTCCTCGCTTGGAGTTGCACCCATTTCACAACTTTTTCTATAAGGAAAATAGTTGATTTTTTTTTTTTTGAGGGCAGTTAGTCAGTCTTAGGAACGAACAGAGGGACATTGGTCCATGGTCCAAACTGTCCTTCCTGGGAATCTTTGTGCATCATTCTGGGAGCCCCTCTCCACTTCTGTTTAGGGATAGTCCTTTCAGGGCCGCTGACCTGTTAGACTCAGCTTGTGCTCAGAAAATCTCGTGGTTTGAAAGTGGAGCCGCTGATCTAAACGGAGCCTCACTAGTCACACTGGGAGAGGCCAAGAGACTTGGAAAAGAAGTTTTCACAGAGTATTTCAGTCACACACACACACACACACACACACACACACACACACACACACCCCTTACTCCTGCACCTTTACTGCCGGGTAAAGAAGAGAGGCCCAAGAGGACCCTGTCGATGTGCCCTGGTGGCTTGGCAAGGCTTGATAGAGGAGGAGGCCGTCACCCTTCCCACAACATAAAGACCACGTTTGGCTCCCAAGGGTAGAGACCTGGAGACTAAAAATCTTCAAAGGAGGAGAAGGGAGTTGTGGCTTGGGTGTGGCGATTTTGTCAGGAGGTGGGTAGGAAGTCCCAAAGAGTTTGTGGGGGCAGGGTGCTTGCTGTCTGAGTGCACCCCACTGCTCTGCCTGCTGCTTGACACACCTTAACATTCTCTCCAAATTCCTTTTCTCTAGGCTTGAGCCTTGTCCCTTGACTAAGATAGCTTGGGCAGAGACAGAATCCCATCTTTAGATGTTGACAGCAATGGTTCCTTTGAGAAATGCAGTGACAGGCACCACAGAAGTTTCTTTCGGCTTTGAACTTAGTCTATATTTTCCTAGATTACCCCCCACCCCCAGTCTCTGGGTATTGCAGAGTTGGAAAAATCTGTATATGCAAGCAGGTTTTTTTTTGGGGGGGGGTTGGGGTGAAGGGATTTGGGGACATACTTACAGGGTTTGCAGTCTGCTAAGAAAAGAAGCAACTAAGGCAGAATTGGGTAGGAGGGTGGCCCCAAGTTTGATCACACGGGGCATTGCTGGGGCATTGCTGTTCCTTCACCTTACTCCTCCATCTCTGCCAGGATTTCCCTGTGTAGCCCTTGGCTGGCCTTGAATTTGCGGCCATCTTCCTGTCTCTGCAATTACTATTATTATTATGTTAAACCACATTTGGAGGCAGACTCTTAAGTTTGAGCAAACACCAAGGCTAAATCTTGAGTGCTGTGCTTTATCAATCTGCACAGTAATAAGCTCTTGCAAGCCTACTTCCTACCCCTTCCTTCCCTGCCTGGTGGAGAGATCTGAAGTAGTTCACACTGAGATGAGCTGTGGTTCTCACAGTCCCATACCCTGGCCTCCCTAAGCTCCTACTGAGCAGAGTTCCAGTCCTTGGTTCCAGGAACCACACCTGCTAGGAGTCTGTCACTTCCCAGGAGCTCCCCAAGGAACCACTTAGGACAGAGGTGCCAACTTCCAGCATAACCAGATTTTATAATTACAGTGCATTTTCTTTTGTCATTTTAGAATTATTGCTGTCTGGCCCTTGCGGAGAGGCAGAAAAGGAGTGAGAGAATTTTTATTTAGTTAAAAAAACAACCTTTCTAGAACTTGAAATTTTATCTCTGGGGTTCCAGAGGACTGTGTTCTACCTAGGGCAGTCTCTAGGGAGCCCTTTTTATTGTCCCTAGCCCAGTGAAGGAGGCCAGACCTCGCTGGGTTTTCCAGGGAATGCCCCACTCTAGAAGAGGGGCTCTCTGATAGGTAACATTTTAAAGTCAACAGCAAAGACAAATGCCTTGTTTAACTTCAGTGTCCTTGAAGTCCTGAGTATTTTACTGATTGCCGTGGTCAATAGTGGCTTTTAGGGCGGAGAAGAATAAATCTTTGTGATGTGTTTTAAGTTCCAGTGTCCCCAGGATAACTTTGAACTCACTTGTGTGGGATGTTAGTTTCCTTTAAATCTAAGACATAACTCTAGAAATGAAGGACACTTTTTTTTTTTTGGTAAGGTAAAAATTAATGGTGAAAGCATTTTAATGCTAAAACCATATTTAAATATCTTTACCACATTACTGACTGTAGACACAAACTCTGAACATCAGGGAAGCCAGGGGTATAGAGGTCTGCTGGCAGGATACTCTTCAAATAAAAGGCTAAAGTGCGATGTTTATTCACTTTTGTAAGTGACTCAACTGCTTCTCGAAGAATGTCAAATTAGAGCATTCAAACCCTCTGTAACAGAGATGGCTCCACACAGTAGACATCATCTGTTTTTACAAAGTCTATGTGTAATAGCATTTAATTTTAGAGAGTTGAAGTTCTTTCATACTTAACCTCCTTGCAGGGAAATAGCAGATGTTATAATTTCTGTTAATTAAGATTTTTTGATTTGTTTTTAATTATCTTTAGGTTAATTTCAAATTCCAAAAGCTAATCACATGATCTGAAAGATGGAAACCTATATTTAAAATATATATTTAAAATATGCAATCTGTTAAGAAAAAAACCGTAGAACCATATTTAAAATAGATTTTAGATAGAAATCAGAATATTTCAGTGTTAGATCCTCATGACATGAAAATAAAATGTAGTCTCCATGCTGAATAACAAGCCTTTTCCCTCCTGGAGAAAAACCTTCATTTTCTTATTTATAATTATAATTAATTGATATGAGTGCTAATAACAGTATTTTAAATATTTTTAATGGAAGAAAAGACATATAAGATGAAATGTGATGGGCACAGAAAATGCTTTTAAAAATTATTTGAGATAACAAACAGGCGATGACTCTTGGGTATTTGTGGTTTTAGGGGAGGCCAGCAACCCGTGAATACTGCGCACCTCGCTTGGGTTTGGTCAGTTGCATTTTATAATTAGGACGACCTTAGTTTTTATCTTAGACAGTCCGGGAAGAGCAGTAAGGCGACCCGAGTGATCTTCTCCAGATCATGTCATTCTCAGGGCCTCTGACTTCACTGGGGTTTCTACTGGCCCCCTGGGGTGACTGGAGTGTGGGACAGTGGTCAGCTGATCCAAGGCCATCAAGGCCAGGACTTGGCGCATAGGGGACCCTGAGGCTCCTCCAGCTTCTGACCACGAATCTGGGGACATTGGAGTGTGGTGGACACAGGGCGGGTGATCTCACCGGCCTCTGGTTCTCACTCTCCCTACAGACCTGCTGGAGGATCTGTCCGAGGGCCGCGAGTGCGTGAACTGTGGCTCCATCCAGACGCCGCTGTGGCGACGGGACGGCACGGGCCACTACCTGTGCAATGCGTGCGGCCTCTACAGCAAGATGAACGGCCTCAGTCGGCCCCTCATCAAGCCGCAGAAGCGTGTGGTGAGTGCCACAGCGGGGTGGGACCCGCAGCACCTACCTCCACTCCCCGCCCCCCAACTCCGGGAAGAGAAAGGAAGGCCCTTGGAAAGGCCGAAAAGCAAAGTGTGGCTGGTAGCAGTCTCTCTTCCACTCCCTGACGCAGCGATTGAAAACACTAGGCAGACTAGTGTCTGCTGATGAATTGCATCCTCGGCCCCTGCGCTGCCTCTTTTTATTTTATTTTTTAAATTACAGATATATATTTACCTTTCTTGAGATATTCTTGGCCCGTGTACAGAATGGATACTCAAGAAATTGGGGCTGCAGGTAACATTCGCAGAGCGAACGTAGGCCAGGGAAGATGGGCTTTGTGTCCTCACAGCTGATTTCAGTACCTGAACAGTTAAAGGAAGGACTGAAAGCCCCGCTCTTCCGCGGTCAGCACAGCCTAGTTCTGCAGATCTCCCTTCCTTGGAGAGCCTTTTTAGCTCCTGATTCCTTTTAAATTGCCCGGAGTATGGTGAAAATGTATTTGCTCAAACATTAGTTATTTTGAAATCTGGCTGTTGCTGAGAACGGCACAGAACTTGAGCTTCTCAAATTGTGAACTTTCACCAATTCAAACATATTTACCGTCTTTTAAAATAAGTATGGGGAGTTCTTAATTTTTCTGGGATTAAGCTCGTGTAATCATTTGTTAGGACATTTAAAGCTGAAATGAAAAAGAAAAAAAGCATTCATGAACTGCACCTTAAGGCCAAGGTTTGTCTAGCTCCAACGGATAGTGTTCTAAATGCCATTTAAAGTAGATGCTTTGCAATTAGATGCCAGACATCTTAAGGACCCAGGTAATTTATTTAATTGTTACACTCTAATTAGCAGAACAAACTCTATACATGTTGTTTGTGTTAACTAGATTAGGGCGAAATTGCATCACAATGTAAGTCTGACACCTTAAGGAGAGGTAATTAGTTTTATGATTGTTTTGTTTTTAATGCATTTAAAATAAAGTAGGTATGGTTAATTTAAGTGGAATGTGCTTTGCCTCCTTCCAGTTCCTCCAGTTTAGGGTTTTCTTTAAAAGGTATCCTTAAGTTCAGGATGTGACCATCTCACCGACATTCGTAATCCTTCTGTATTTTATTAAAAAGAAAGTAGTTAGAAAATATTCCAAGGAAGTTCTTGCTTTCATTTACCAGACAAAGTTTCATGAACAATGAAACTACTTTCTGGAGGGAAAGCTTTATTCATGTGGAGTCCTAGTTGAGCTCTGAAAGGTAACATCTTTTTTTTTCAAAACTGAGCAAAAACTTGGTGTACTTGTAGTAGCTTTTTCAGTTCTTGTTAAATTACAAGTTTGATCAACTAGCAACTGTAATTAGATAGCACCATTTATTTCATACATTTACCAGAAAAAAATTGTTATCTACAAGAAAAACAATTTAAATGTTTGTGAATCAATTAGTTTTCTTTCTGTGGCAGGTGTCTTGGCAGTAACCAAGGTCAGCCAATACGCTTTGTGAATGAGTTATAAATGATAGCAATCGTAGGGTGTGCCACTATCAATTAGTTCTCCTTGTGGGCTTATAGTTTTGGTGGGTCTGGCTTAGTTCTCAGAAACAGAATATTGAATCCCAGTTTGTTAAGCCAGCAGGACAGAACCAATCACCGTGAATCTGAACTTGTAAGACATTGCAAAATAAGAGATTTATGGTGTAGCTTGAATTCCTTGTCACTGAGGAATAGAACTGAGGTTGCTTGTTACAAGGAACTTTTATAACCTGCTCACCTTCATTTCACATGTTTATGGAGACTGCCTTCACTTATGATCTGCAGTTGACAATCATAAAGCTCTTTGTTATAATGGCAAATTCTGATAACAGTTTTGCTCCACATTGGCTCCAAATTCCACTGGAAACTGTCATAAATGGCTCGTTCATAAAACGGTCATCTTCCCCCCTTACTAATTTCATATTTATGGAGAGAAAGGAGTGCTCACCTAGAAATTTTTCTCTCAACCCCAGAGAAGCGGGAGAGAAAAGCAGCTGTTGGTGTGTAAGGTTTTGCTAATGTTTTTGCTGTTGTTATAGCAAAGCAATTTCTCAAGTAGTTCTATCATCCAAGTATGTTAATTTTCACCAAATTCTGAGAATTATTAGCTCTGAGTTCTTAGAAATGTTGCAGGGCTAAAGAGTTCATGAAAGTGCCTGTGACTTCACAACTTGATTATAAAGGATGCTAACTTAATAGAACAGATATGAGCTATAAATGCAAAATCCTATTGGATCATTCATATTTGTCTTCAAAGAACTTGGAAACCTGATTCTCTGACCCATGAATATCCAATATATACCCAACATATCTTTCTATTCTTTATAAAATGAATTGTCATTTTTCTAAAATGAATTGAAACTGGTAACCGTTGGAGTTCGTCACTTAAAATTTGCTTTGATTTCCACGTTTTCAACTAATATATATGCATATATACTAATATATTAATTATATATAAGATGTGGTCTTGGCACAACTTGTTTTTAGTAATTTTAAACAATTTATATTTGGTAATCTAAAAATAAATCATGTTTTGTCTTTCTTGGAGAGGATTATATTTTTCTCACTTCCCTGACTACCCCTATGTAGTGATTTGGAGGAAATATATTCCTTCAGGAATGTTAGAGCTGGAAACGGTAGCGTTAGACAGGGCTTGCCCTGGTGGTACCAGTTAATTATTTACATGAAGAAAAATCGGGACAAATAAAAGTGCGTCAGCGCCACCATCTACAAGGCAGTGTTAACACTGAAAGACCACCATCAAATGTGCTCTGATCTTTTGTAAAGCAGGTACCACAGAACTCAGGCATCAGGATGACAGTTACAGGTGTGTTTCTTTATTCAGATCCCCAGCTTTTCTTTCTCACTCATCTTTCTATTTTTCCCTTTATTATTATTTTTTTTTTTTCAAGGCAGGGTTTCTTTGTGTAGCCTCGGCTGGCCTAGAACTCAGAAACTACCTACCTCTGCTTCCCCAGTGCTGGGACCAAAGGTGTGTGCCACCCTGGCCTGGCTCTCACTCACTTTTATGGTTTCTGGTTGATTTTTTTCTACATATGCCTGAAAAATAGATGTAGTTATCCCTAATTCTTAGTCGTCCTAAGTTGTTTATCAACACTGGTGGCTTTGATTGTGTTTCGTGACTCACATCTAATATTGTGGCAATATTAGGCTTCAGGTGGTTGTATTTTTGGTATGTTCTAGAATTTAGCTCTGTTTGGGGCAACTTTCAGGAAATCTGACTCCCCAACAAGAATACATGGAAACCTTGAATTCTTGGAGGAACAGCCACCATGAGAACATGCGTGACTCTGTGATAGCTTTGCATGGTCAGTGTACAATTGCTTCCAGGTTATTTTATAACCCTCAGTAACAGGCGAGGGCCGAGAGAATCTCATCTGTGGGATCAAGCACACTACACAGACCTCATGTATAACTGGAATCCTGTTTGTTTGCTTGTTTTAAATAGGAACATGATGTACATATAGAAGCATTAGAATATATAAAGTCACATTTCTCTACTTTGTGTCTTATGTGCTGTTTTCCAGCCCTCATCACGGCGGCTTGGATTGTCCTGTGCCAACTGTCACACGACAACCACCACCTTATGGCGCAGGAATGCCGAGGGTGAACCCGTGTGCAATGCTTGCGGACTCTATATGAAACTCCATGGGGTATGCACTTATTTCATTTATGAATACAGACATCTAGCACCTAGACTGTGTATTTTCATTTATACGGCAGAATCAACAAGTGAAAAAAAGGTGTAAAAGGATAAGAAAGTGAAAAACTGAGTGTGTATTGTGTATACGCTGCATTGAATCCAAGCTGCTGTTAATGTGCGCTAGCTCTTTCAGCCACCGGGGAACCAAGAAATAAAATGCACAACCAACTTCTGACACTGACATTTTTGGTAAAACATTCCAATTTTAGAAATGTAAAAATGAGCCGGGTGTGGTGATGCATGCCTTTAATCCAAGACAGCCAGGGTTACACAGAGAAGCCGTATATCAAGAAGAAAAAAAGAAAAAGAAAGAAATGTAAAGGGTACACTTTAGAATTGATAACAAAATAATGATTACTATAGATCTTAAACTTTAAGAAATTTGAAAAAGTTTTTTTTTTCTGAAGTTATATTTGATATCTTCAGTTAGAGCCTATACTTCATTAAAGGACTGTAGAGGTTATTATAAATCTCAGTCTTTGGTTCGGTTTTTTGAGACAAGGTCTCATTCTATAGGCTAGGCTGACCTTAAACTCACCAGCCCAGGGTGCTTCAAGAATCCTCCCGCCTTAGCCTTCTGAGTGCTGGTGTTCTAGCCACCAGCCTGGCTAATAATTAATGGCTCAGTCTTACAAAGGAAATAACCTATGTTGTACGGAGATGGTATTTGATCTCTTTTAAATAAGGATATTAAATGTAAAGATTCACACAATAAATATTTTCTCTATAATTAATGTTATTTCAGATATAAACAAAGTTGAAAATATCAAATTGTCCGTAGTAAACTACATTTTTTCCCCCTGAAAGAATCTCTATTTTTTGGGTGGGGGAATCTTTACGCATTTAGAATATATATAATATTTATATATTAATTAATATTAGCATATATATAAAATTAGGATGAAATTTATACCACAGTCTTTAACTAATAAGTTTAAAGCTGGAGCTGGAGCTCAGTGTGCTTTCCTAGCATGCCTGAGTCCTTAGCGCTGAAGAAATGATGACTCACTCTGGTGCTGGAGATGGAACCCGGCCTCATGTAGCCCAGCCATCGTCTGCCACTGAGCTGTATTCCCAGGTTCTTTCAAATGAGGGCTTTCAGTACAGAGATCACATCTTTTGTCTGTGTTTCCTTCAGTATAATATACTTCGGTCTTTTTGTGGACATTTTTAAGGTGCCTCGACCACTTGCTATGAAGAAAGAAGGAATTCAAACCAGGAAACGAAAACCTAAAAACATAAATAAGTCAAAAGCTTGCTCCGGTAGGTATAACAGAGTGCTGTTTTCCCTGGAAAAGGTTTTCCAGTTTGACAGCAGAGGTACTCAAGGCTCATCTCTTGCAGGTAACGGCAGTAACTCTGTTCCTATGACTCCAACTTCCTCCTCTTCTAACTCAGATGACTGCACCAAAACCACATCTCCTTCAACACAACCGACCGCCTCAGGGGTAAGTGTAAAACAGCTGAGGGCTCCTGAGAAGACTGTCTTAAATTTTATCTTATCAGCAGTATAATAATCTGAACCAACAGTCTAGTGAACTGCTACCTAAGAATAGTTTTTAGAGGAAATTGTATTTGAATGTCAAACGAAATGGCAGACACTTAAGTACTTTACAAACCTCCTAATTAAGATCCAGCATTTTTAGTGGTTAGATTAGTCCAAGAAAGAAGCGTGGAAAAGATTCAGATTGATTGTATTTACGGTCCCCCCCCCCCCCCCCGCATTGTTTTGTTGTTTGAGACAGGAGTTTTCTGGCCCTGGCTGTTCTGGAACTCTTTGTAGACCAGGCTGGCCTCAACTCAGAGACCTGCCTGCCTCTGCCTCCTGAGTGCTGGGATTAAAGGTGTACACTGCCACCCCCAACTACATTTCCTTCCTTCCATCCACTTCCTTTCCTCCCTCCCTCTCTCTGTCAGTCACTATGCATTCCTAACGTAGATTAGGAAAGTACATGGAGGCATCTATGGAGCCCAGTTTTATTTTCTCAGATCGGCGCAGGTCCTGGGCTGTCGTTCTCACTGTTCTTCCTGGAACCCTTGCCCTCTTGCTGGGAGACCCTGCTGCCTTCCCATGAATTCTGACGCGTTATTTCAGCAAATCATGCCTGCCAGCTTCTCTCACTGTGATGGGAACTTGGTTTCACTCAGAGCATTTTCTCACTTGTCTCTAACTCCCCTGGCCTCCCTCAACTCTCAGTGTCCAAGTTCCACCAAAGACTTTTTACAGGCAGGACACACTAGGTGATTGAATTGATCTGAGATCCACCCCCAGCCCTCAGGTGGGACTCTACAGATGTGTACAGCCAAGATTCTCCCCTTTCAGCTAAGACCAGACTAGGAACAAAACCCTTGTTTACCTAGTAGCTGTTGGCTACATTTAGTTTGGCCCTGGGTTGTTTAGGGCACTTCAAAATACTGCAAATTTCCAAGCCCCACCCTGGATTATTTTAGTCAAAATTTCTGGGTGTGGGGCCTAGAAATTTGTGTTTCCACACAACAGCCACAGGTAAAACTGCCGCTGCCCTGGCGGGCCTTGGGGACTGCAGATGGGCTTTCTGTCTGGGTCTTACCACAGTCACAAACCCAAAGTAACATATTTAAAACACTACTCCATATCACTTCTTTGTGGACCAAATTCCTTTGATGAAAACAGGTTTAAGCAATCAACCGTTCTGCACATGCACGGAATTGTCAGAATTAGGAAAACCGTAACTGGCATACAATGCATCCCTATAAACATTGGTCGAATGGACGCGGGGGAGAGACTAACGCTAAGACGAGAAAAGCTTTTACACTGCATTTTATATTTGTCTGAGACAGGGTCTCAGGCCTGTGGCAGAACTCTGTAACCAAGCTTCCTCAAGGAGCTCCACCTGCCTCAGCCTCTGTTGGGACTAAAGGTGTGAGCCATGCTGCTCAGCCTTCCAGCTGGTTCTGTTTGCTGCAAATGTTAGGTTAAAGACGGTTTTGAGCTTTTATAAATGTGATCAGTAGTGTGTGCACACACGTGTGAATGCATGCCTCTGTGTGTGTGTGAGCATGTACATGTCACACTCGTGCATGTATCTGTAGTATTGCAAGTGTGCATGATATATGTGTGGGATATTCATGTGTTCACCATGTATGTATGCCATGGTACACATGTAGAGATTAGAAGATATCTTTGTGGAGTCTGTTCTCTCTACCTCCTTGTGGGTTAGAGGGTAGAATTCAGATAGCCAGGCACTCAGCGGGCACCTTTACCTGCTGAGACATGTCTGCGCCTGTATAAATTAAATCGGATTGTTGCATGCAACTCCAATCATCCGAAGTGGTAAATAGATTTTGTTACTTGTTGGGAAATGAAAGGTTAAGAGGAAATGAAAGGTTAAGATTATTTAATCCTCCTCTCCTACCCCCAGTCTTCAGATTATGTAGTTAAATGAAGCAAAATGATGTTTTGGTTTTTCTGGGGTATTAAGGAGCCGCCAGCCCCAAGTTACCTTGGTGAAAGTGGTGTCCAGTTTGTGTGGCAAAAGCTTAGTTTGAATGTTAATGTGGAGGCTTCTGTGCTTGCTTGGGGAGTAGTGTTATTGTGAATGGAGTCTTTTGCTCTTGTGCTTTTGTGATGGAAAATTCAAAATTCCTCTTGATAAATCTAATCTGCTGGAAAGAGAATGAAAAGCCGAAAAAGGAACCTAACTGGATGAGGGTCTTAGGAACTGTGGTCTGGTTCTAAGCTTCTGTTAGTGTCTTGGGTTAACAGCAGGAGAGACCAGCACCTTACTAGAGACTGGGAGGCGGAGCAGTGAGGGTTTTATTGGGGACTCCTGAGAGGCCCTTTACAAGGCTGCAGGCCTGCCTCCAGGCTCCAAGCTCTGGAACTGCCGTGGGACCTGGAGAGCCCGTAGCAGCTAGGGTGAGCTGTAGCCCAGGGCTGATGAGGTTGGAGCTCATTAACAGCATCTCCCATCTGCCCGGGGTGGGGTTGATCCTTCACTCTACTCCTGGCCAGCCTGCTGTGGAGAGCAAGGGGTTCATTGGTGCCCCTTGGCCCCTTAGCACTTCCCAATGCCTTCTCTGGCTGCACTCAGCTTTTGTGTGTGTGGAGTGAGTGGTCAGTGTGGCAGCTGAGCAGCTGTACACAGGATGCTGGGAGTCACCCGTGAGTAACTGGCAGAAACTTTTGTTTTGTTTTGTTTTTCGAGACAGGGTTTCTTTGTGTAGCTTTGGTGCCTTTCCTGGAACTCACTCAGTAGCCCAGGCTGGCCTCAGACTCACAGAGATCCACCTGCCTCTGTCTCCCGAGTGCTGGGATTAAAGGCATGCGCCACCACTGCCTTGCTGGCAGAAGCATTTTTAAAGGGCGCCTGTGTTGACAGGAATGTGTCTTTTTCCCATCTGGGCCACAGTGTCTGTTGTTTAGCAGCTACCTCTGACTGACCCTCCACAGATTCTAGGAAATACTGACTGTAGTTGAAGAAAACACGAGATTCCCACGCAAGGCTGTCTGGTGTTACATACAATGTCTTCACCGGCTTAGGGCACAAATCTCAAAAGAATGGGGCCCCCTTGATTGAGTTTCACTGCTGTCTGTGATGACTGATACAGTAAGAACTCACTGTGTGTGCTGGTGGGGTTTGTAACGAGACAACTGGACTGTGAAATGAAGGGACAATCAGGCTTAGTCTCTGTAGCTGGTGGGGCTGGAGCTGCGGCCCCTCTGCTGAGAGACGGGAAGGACATGTCTGCCTTTCTCTGGTTATGAGACAAGGAGGTCAAGGAGGTCAAGGAGGTCACTCGGCTGCAGCGCCCCCACCTCATCTTCTTAGTCTCCCTTCAGGAAACCGGTGGTGGCCGAACTGGTGGCGTTTCTAGCTGGCTTCTTACCTGTGGACCATTTATATGGGCACCAGGTTCCTGGGATCTCTTGGCCAAGGGACCCCGGGACCAAGGGAACCAAGGGACAGCAAGGCTGCCTTGTCTACTGCTGCTAACACGAGCCATACCCCAGGTCTTTCCCAGCAGCAGTGGAGTATGGAAGGAGTTCAGGGTCACACTAGGTAGGCAGGCTTGCGTGATCAGCGGTTTTCCAGCTGGCCATCATACTGCCCATCCTTTACATTTTTTCTTATTATTTGGGAGTACTAGGTTTTGAATCCAGGCCCTTGTGGATGCTAGGCAAATATGTGATGTCCTCAACCCTTTTTCTTTCTTTCTTTCTTTCTTTCTTTCTTTCTTTCTTTCTTTCTTTCTTTCTTTCTTTCTTTCTTTCTTTCTTTCTTTCTTTCTCTCTCTCTCTCTCTCTCTCTCTCTCTCTCTCTCTCTCTTTCTTTCTTTCTTTCTTTCTTTTTTTCCTCTGTGTTTTTTTGAGACAAGGTTTCCTTTGTAAGCCTTGGCTGTCCTGGAACTTGCTCTGTAGTTCAG